GTGCTCTCAGGAGGGGCTGGGGGGAAATATTTCTCAGCTCTGCCTAATTATTCCTTGGGGTATCAGGGGTTGCTTGACAGTGTTCTCCGTGGATTTATTTATCTCTTAGCTTGGCATAATTAAGGTATTAACAAAATCCAATAAACTTTTGCCAGAGGACGCCTCAAAAGAGAGCACAGCTATATGGATGCACTGAGTACGTGTCAGACGTGTCCTGTAGTTCGTGACCAGATTTGCTCACACTGCAGCAGGGATTCTGGCCATCACCACCAAACAGATCTTCTCCAGGTCTTTCAGGCTTTGTAGCGCTCTCCAAATATTTTCATAGGGTTTTAGGTTTAGAGCAAACACTGAGCCACTCCACTCGTAATGATTCTGATGGAGCCACTCCTTAAAACAAGTGGTTCTCTCATGCTTCACCCAAAATGTCGAAAGTGGCTCTTATTGACTTACTCAATGTTCGCAGGAAGACATTCGCCTCCCCTTCTCGACACCAGGCGTGGGTTGAACTATTTGTGCAGTGTGATGTGTGTTAGGTCAGAAGTGTACTTCCTTGCTTTGCACGGACATGTGCTCCAAACGCAATGTTGATATGTCACGTCAAGTATCCATTTTTTGTATCCGCAGGAGACATAAGTACTTTTGAGGAGCCGCTGCTTGCGTCACAAGAGTGACTCTCGTATTTCTGCCCACTGTCATTTCTCGCTCTTTTTTGTCTTTTTTTTTGAATCAGATAAAAAGTCACAGACAGAGCCGACTGTTCAGCGCAGCTTTCATGTCCTCCATTGTAGCCCTGTGTTTGCATAGCATACAAATCGTGGCCCACTACTTTTCGGACTCTGGGGCTGCTCATAGTAATAATGACTCCACCCATTGGACCTCTCACTCGATTGTTATGGAAAACCACCCAAGTTGGGTAGAGTGGAGTCGAGTCAAGTCTCACTGTTGAGGACTAGCAGGAAAAGGCTACAAGGAGTGATTCCACAAGATGTAATTGTAGCAAAAGCTTGTTCTACAAAATATTGACTGAGAAACACTGAATATATATGAATGGTACATTTATCAGATTTTTAATGACATTTTTCTTGCACCTCACTGATGCATGCTGCTGATGGTCTATAAAATAAAATTCTAATATGATGTATTAAAGTTTGAGGTTATGTGCTGATGTAAAAAAAAAAAATCCACTTTTACCTTTTACTAGGCAAAGTAAATGGTAGAGAACTTAATTAGTCTTCTCTGTGCTCCACTTGTATCATCAGTCATTTGTAAAATTTAAAAAAAAATCTTAGTGATACATCTTCAAGTATTATGTGTTGTGCATTGTCCAATTTGAAATAAATAAACAACAAATATATTTCACCGTGTTTATGTGTTTGCTCTCAGGATGTGATTGGTTGACTTTTAGGAAGTGAAAGTGATTCTTAAAGCTCATTATACGGGGAGTAAACTCACTCTGATGCACAGAACAGAGCTCATGAACCAAGTGTGCGGCTTTCTACAATAAACTGTTTGAGGTTTATAAGCAGGCATCACATAGTTCTCTGATTTGAACTATGAAAATGACTTTGTTGTTCTAAAAAAAAGGCCTTTCATCATCTAAGGGGGATAAGCTCCAAGTCTATCTCTCACAGTCAGGCACTGAGTGACTATTTCATGTTATTAAAACACCACAAGCCACAACTAATATTCCCTTTTATGCTCTGTGAACGCTTTGATTTAACCGCAGACAAAGCAGAATGCAACTTTGCATGAGTTTTGATTGTGGTAAAAAAAAAAAAAAAGGAAGGAAATCCATTACAACCCTTATGTCCCCGGATCTGCTTTTTAAGTTTGTCTAACAAAGCTAATAGGAATTAGCCGCATAACCTTGAGTCCTCCTGTGGCCTATATTTGACCTTTTAGGCGTTTTCCTGGCCAGGACTTTTACAATCCACTCTTCATCTCCAGAGCACCAATAGACGGCCAAATGAGCTAAGGTCAATAAAACTGCTGACAGTTTCTCATGAGTTAAAGTTATACTTTGTCAGCATAGTATTTACATAATGACATGGATGAGACGAGGCCAAGGCGAAGTATTTCGAAAGACCTCTGCAGTACTTCTCGCTTCACTTTAACGCAGCCCGTTGGTTCTTTTAAGCAGTTTCTTTTTGTCGTTTTGAAGATTCGAGCCAAACACTTATTTTTCACGTTTCCATCGTTGTATGCCAGGTTTTTGGTTCATTCACCATACATAAAGAAATACTGACATAATGACAGGAGCTACACTTCTATCACCTGAGTTATTCCAAAGTGCACTCTGAAGTTCACATTAACTCACCAAGAGCACACAATACATTGATAAAATCGAACAAAATTTGATTTAATTCTGGATGATTTCCAATGAAAAAGGGACAAAATTATGCATACATACTAAAATCTGCGTATACATCCTCATTAATCTGTTTTTCTCATTAACAAGCAACATAAATAATCATGGCTGAATGTTTGACTGGTCTTCATATTTGGTAAAGCTAATTTAAACTGTCCTAATTCTCAGCTGTTTGTGTTTTGGTTCTCACTTATGTTTGCATTTTGATCGTTTTAGTTTTATCAGGGTCTCTCTGCATCAGTTCATTCCTGTGTGTTGAGTTCTTCATTCTTTCTTGCTGTGTGTTTCTGGACATCTTGTGTAATATATTGGTTTCAGACCTTAGCTTTGGTTAAATAGCTGTGCTGTGTTTTCATTCAGTGTCTGCCCCAGCTGCTCTGCATTTTGATTTTACTCACCTGGTCGCCATTTCACCGATTACATCTCCACAATATTACAGCTCCTTTGTTTCCCTGTCTCACTTCTCTATTCTTCCGTTTCCTCCACCCTGGTTCTTGTATGATCATACCCTGCATGGCGTGGTGCTGTGTGATGGGTCATCGTCATGGTCTAGAACAGGAGTCCCCAAACTTCGCAATGACACATTCGCGCTTTTAAATAGATTTTTACCCAGAATGCAAATGAAAAAAACCGTGAGTGAAACGGTGACTGGGACTGACTAGTATATATTCCATTGAGGGAAAGTTAGCTTCACATCTGCTCAAGAGCCCCCCTGGTGGTTGAAGAAAAATCCACATATAAACCAGAAAATACAATATATGAAAAAAAACACTGAATACTTCTGGTATGAGGAGGCGGGCCGGATCCGGCCCGCGGGCCGTAGCTTGGGGACCCCTGGTCTAGAAGAAAGAATCGTTCAAACATCGTCAAAAGCCCAGAATTAACGACAGTAATGACAAAATTCTGGGGTGCACTGTCATGTGATTTAAACAATAAAAAAAATGTACGTGATTATAAAAAAGGAGAGAAATTTCTATGCCGGTTTTCTTTTCGTTTTGTTTTTAATTGCATGATTTCAAACCTGCCGCTAGATTGTTTCTTATTGGATTCGACACCAACAATCAGTAAAATTTTGCTCTTTTTTGTTGAATTCAGAAAATTTTGAAGAAAAAAATAAGACATCAGGGCATTTCTTTTAACTTCTGACGCAACAGTTTTACTCAAGGAAAACTGACATTTTCTCACATCTTGAAAGCACCGAAGTGCTGCTGGTTCAGAACCGTGGACAGCTCCTATAGTCTAAGGACTAGTGGCGACAAGTAGCTTTTAAACTATTAAGGTTCACCTGCAAAATGCCTTTGGATCATTTTGCTGCACATAGTAATAATGCGCTCTGTAAAATAAATATTTCATACCAGGAAAAACAATGATACAAACAATCCCAGCCATGCTTGAACTATATGAACGAAGCCTTAATCTTCCTCTCACGACCATGGAGGCCCTCAGGGAATCATTAGTCCTCACATAGTGGCTCCTAAAATGCTGGATCTGTATTTCCTATGAATGTATACAAACAACTCTTTTTGCAAGCCATTTGAAATTAGTCTGACTCTATATTTCTTTTTTTTTCTTCTCCACATGTACCCTACACTTTATAATAACTTCTATTATGCAAAGAAGGCATTTGAAACCAAACCCGATGGTTTGCCAGTTCAACCTTTAAGCAAAATTCTAGGATATTTTCCGTGTAAATCTAATTTGATAGCCTTAAATTGGCTATTACAAGTAAAATCCCATGTTGAGATCATTGCTGCGCAGCCAGAAAACGTAATTTAATCCCTACGATCATTATTATAGACCAAATGGGACTGTGTGGAGCACCTTAGCTTGAGGATATCAAAATCATAACTGCACCGTATCGTTTTCTAAATAATTTTAAGGACTCAGTGAAGTGCCATTCACAAAGAAGCCAAATTATTTGTCAATAGGCACCAAAATTCAACAGGTCAACATTTAATCACTACAAATGATATGGTGCTTATGGACACAGAGCTTTGCAAAAGTATCTGCATTGTACACGTTGGCCTCTGTGAAAAGTTCTGTGTGGCAGAAAACTAAAAATTAGTTGACATGAACAGATTATGACCACTTTGAAATACTGCGGTGGCAGCATAAGGCTGCAAGGGTTCTTCTCTTCAGCAGGGACCTGGCGTCTGGTCAGGATTCATAGGAAGGGGAGTAGAGCTCAAGCAAGGCGATAGTAGAAGCGAATTTGATAAAGACTGCAAAAGACTTGACGGTTCACCTTCCAGAAGGACAACCTTGAACATAAAAAAAAACATAAAAACCAAACAGAAAATGGAATATTTTCCATCCACCTCAGAAGGAAAAACTATTTTTATTTAATTAAATGCTTAAAAAGTAAGTTTTTGATAGTACAGAAGTAAAAAAAAACAAAAACTTGTAAGGTATATACATATACATATTAAAAAAAATGTTTTCGAGTCTCCTTTCATAGTGTTTTGTAGAAACTTCTGGTCTTTGTGCTATCCGTAGACACCCCCCACCCCCCAATTATCTTACACCCACCGTCTTTCTCACGCTGGGGCCCCTCGTCTTCCGCCTCCTCCCCCCGCCCCGCCGCCCCTCTCTCTGCTATTTGAACAGAGAGCCCTCGGAGCTCTCTTTTGTTCAGTAGCGCTCAGCTGCTGGAGAGGTGGGCACCACTCCGGCTGACGCTCATCCTCTCGTCGCGGCTCCTCCTCTCCAGAGGACGCGCGGACTCTGCTGGAGCTCCAGGTGCAAAAAACCCCCCCAACAACAACCTTTTCTGCCGTTCCGTTTGCCGACGTGACACCTAGAAGCGGCACTTTGGACCCGACCGAGCCGGACCCAAAGGCTTTGATATATAAATTTTTTTTATTATTATTCTTATTATTATTTTCTACGGCGTCCGTTGGATGGTTTAGCAGGTTCACTCTCTGTGGCGCTACCACCTGCACTCTATCAAGGCGACGCTCCTGTTAGAAAGCCTCAGCATCACTCTGCATTCCTGTGGACGGAGCCGGATTCTTCAAAGGTGAGCGCAAGTTGTTTCATCTGCTTCTGATTTGTCATGACGGGAAGTAAAGTCATTTTAGGTGCTGACTGAGCCTATAGCATATGCAAAGTAAGAAGGGCTGTAGATAAATTAGGAATAAGCTTGGAAAAGACGGAGCTGTGAAGCTGAGTCCACTTTCGGGAGCACCCAACACTGAACAAGCGCACTTTTGATTTTCATGAGCATTTCTCAGTAATTGCGTGACCGTAATATCTTAGACAGTTATATGCTGCTAACCTTTTCAACAGCTTTGCTTTATGACAAAAAGTGTCTTACTATGCAGCATCTGTTAATTGCAGAGGTATGTTGAAAGTCACATCCTCCCCCCCCTTTTTTTTCTTCGCATGCTTAAAGCTTAAAAAGACATCAGCTGTACACAGACCACGTTTGGTTGTAAATCCCACTTTCTGATCTCTCGAAAGGCGTCAGACATGTTTTGCATGAGACTAAAGTTGATAGGTAGTACTGTGTAAAAATGCCACAATCAGAGCTGACAGCAAAACAAAGGGGGAAGAAAAACCTGAGACAGTATCTTGGGTGGCACTGACAATCAGCCAAAAAGGTCTGCGAATACTTTCTGCTGGAGGAAACTTGGTCTTCTTGGAGTAAACGCCTGCAAAAACCACCAAAGAACAGGAGGTCCGAGCCACAGTTATGTTCTGCATCTTGGTTCCTACTTGGATATGTCATATAGTGAAAGGTGTTGTTGGTTACCGAGGATGAAAAGGGAAACTGTGCGGCTTCATCCCCTTTTCCCCTTTTGTTTTAATTTTAACCAGTATATGGCAGCGTTTCAAATTTTGGATGGTGGGGTGGGGGGGAATAGAGGAGAGCTTCTTATGACCCCATGGGAAATTAAGCAGAGATCCAACCAAGCAGTTTGTGAAACACTTTCTACTCCCGCTTCCTTTCTCGTGCTTCTTTTTCGGTCTGTCTGCCTTGTGCTCACGGCATGTCTCAGGTATTTGCTCACGCATGGGTGCACAATCATCTGGGCTGCCTTTTGTGGGAGTTTGAGGCAAGGTGTCCTTCTCAAAAGCTGATCTAGTGCTCCTTGTCATTATTAATTCACCACCCATTATCCACGCCGACCTCCTCCTACAGGTATATTTTGCCTCGGATTGCTGTGTGCTCGCGTTTAAGTGGGCAGACCGCTTCTGAAAGCCAAGTCAGAACCTACAAACAAGCCAAAGTGTTTTTAATTGAGCAGCCGTGTGTGGATCTTTGTGTATGTGATACGTGCCAGCTGCTGCTAGTTTCTAATTCATTTGGGCATCCTTCGCTTCTGGCGCATGAATAGGGAAGTGGTTCCACACAGAACGATGTTTAAGTCCCCCTGCTGCCATTTAAGACTACCCTCTTCTTGTGCTTCCATGCATACCATGCGGATCATCTTTTGTGTTTTCCCTCCTTGTCCCCTCCGTTCTCTCAAGATCTTAGTCTTTTTTTTTTTTTTCGCAGCCCCCGCTTATCACTCTTGCAGCACGGTTCAGCAGTATCATCATTGTTCTCAAAAGAGGTGTTCTCTTCTCATGTCTTTGCCAGTTCGCTGCTCCTATTTTCACATTTTGTATGCGATGAGGCATCGCAGTGGATGAACAGTATTTCTTCTGAGAGAGGTTCGCTGCCTCTTTGTGGCTCCGCTCCAAGTGTGGTCAAGGCCAAAAGCGGCGCTGAAATGCTGTCATTACATCTCACGAGCGATGGAAGGAGGGGAGGAAAAAAGGGAAACGGAAAGAGCCCGGGGCCAGTTTGACGGATTGATCTGCTCCTTGCATGGGGTTGCATTTGTCACATATTTCAATAATGTGTCTTTTCTGGCTGGCTGTACTCGGCTTAGTGCAGACACTTGTAGCTGAAGATGGGGGTGGCGGGGTTTGGCACTGATTCAACTGTGCTCTTGAGTTGCGTCCAAGCAAATTTGGTAAACTGTGAATTTTTACAGCGATTTTTGCTAATGTAAGACGTTAATATCCCAACAATGAACCTTCTGCTGTGCCTAAAACCAAACAAAGCCAGTCTGGCATGGAAACGGAGGGGACAAAAAGGGTGAGAGGAGCCAATTGGTTCCAGAAAAAGACGATCTGTTTGGCTCGATTCTGGTTGCTGAAGTCAAATTCAGCTGAAAATCCAAATCAAAACCCCAAAACATGGACACCCAAAATGAAAATGCATGAAAGGGTCAATAATTTGCTGACTAATGGCATATGCACTTTCTCCAGCCTGCTTAACAATTCACTACACCACAAGTTGGGATGTACATTTTGCTGTTCCTTCAAATGGCCATATGCAGCTCAGACCTTTGCAGACACCTGGTGTGTTATATTCTTCGTTACTGTCTTTAAGAATGGCATCTTGTGAGAAGGACTTCAACGACCCTGGATGGCTACTCTGTCATGTAGACTTCTGGATTGTTTGCTAAACTTTTGTACACAGTATTAGTGAGATTCGGCAAACAGGAAAAGAGCCAACAGAGTCTGAAACCATGTTCTCTTTTACAACCTTCAGTAAAATTATAATTTAGCCCTTCAATTTCATTCAAGAAAATTAGTAAAGTTTGAATTTTTGCTATTATTTTGATAATGGAAGACATTAATGTTCTAACAATAAAACCTGTACTGCACTTAAACTAAAAGCTGACTTAGTGTGGGAAAAAAAAGAAAGGCTGAGTGCAGCCATGCAAATGCAGAGTATCAGAAAGGTCAAACGGTTTGATTTTTGGCAGTTCACCTGGTGAAAAACCGGTCAAGTCCAGCCTGGAATTCAATTTTTAGAGCTGTGGTGCTATGAGCCAACTGGGGTCGTGTGGTGCTAATAGCTGAATATATTTCCTGTACTTTTATAGCAGGAAAATGTGTGACTCACTGTGCAATGTACAGAGAGGAGTCCACAAGGAGTTCAAAGTGGGCACAGTAACAAAGTCTCAGAAATCAGGGCCTGAATGTGAAGCCCTCAGTCGTAGAGAGAACGAAGAACATCAGGTTCCTCAGAGCACAGTGTTTGATGACCTCACCGGGTCAAAGAACACCATTTGGATCTGAAACAGGTCCAGCAAAAAATGGGAACCCGGAACAAACTCCTCTCCCTACCGGCATGCTAAGCGCCCTGCAGAGGAAAGCAAGAAAGGCTGTTTATGGAGATCACCACCTTGAGTCCAGGCTGCGTTTTCAGAGTCACATCAGGCAAACAGTGCAGAAGTAGCCTGTTGGTGTAAAGCTGTCTTACTCTGCTTACACTGGTTCTACTCTGAACTGGCAGTTTATTGCTTTTAATATAATCAAGTGTGATTTTTTTCCTTGTGTGTTTTTCGCTGCAATCTTGCAGAGTGCAGGTTTTAGTGTGGACAAAAATGAATATACAGTTTTAGTCCAAGGTGGCAGATCAGAGGGGGAAAGCCAAAAGACTCCTGCAAAGAAGAGGTAATTCTCAGACTTGGATAACCCTGATCCAATTAAGCAGTGAAAGCCCACACAGCAGCCTACGTGCTGCCTATTCAATGCGGATTCTATAAACAATCGTGACACTACGTGCTTTGAGTTGTCTGCCAAAGCTACGTAGGTGCAGTTTACATGAGGGTACGTCACCATTTCGACTGCCATCCGCTTAGTTTCTTCGTTGCATCGGAGAAGCAAGGCGGGATGCATCACTTAGTTTCTCCAGGTAGTTGCTTCGTTAACCTCGATGACGTCTGTATCTGTCCTCGCTGGGGCACGTCACTCAGCTTGAGTGTCAGCCGCACGTCCTCCAACCCGGTGCCACTGAGCAGATGGGGCCAACCAGGAGTGGGCTGCTTCTTGGTTCGCTTTGGCTGAGAGTAAAATAGCCTGGCTTGGCACTTTGAGCCAGCTACTGCACGTATAGGGCCAAGCAAATGAGCAGCGCAGCTGGGCCATCGTTGGTCAGCGGCTGAGCACACAAAGCCCAGGAGATGCAGAGGCAGAGAAAAAAAAAAAAAAAAAGGTAGCTTACCACAATCCCTTCAGACACTGGTCGTTAATATTCATCAATCACCCACCTCCCATCCGCCCCCGAGGCCCCCAGCTCTGCACCCGTCTTCCCACCGAATGCATTATTCAAAGGTAGCATTTTCCCTATTAAATACTTTTAATAAATAATGACATCTGGTAACAGTTTTGTCTGCTGAATTAATGACAGCCGAGTGTATTTTGTAGCAATCGGAGGTGGAGTTGAGGTGGATTTCTGTTCAGCCGCCTCTCCTCTCAGTGCGTTCTCTTTGTCTTGGCTCTTTTGTTGATGTCAGCCGGCCTGTCAGTGGATCAGAATGGGACCGTGTCTGTCTCTATCAGTCACCTTCAACAGCACGCCCCGAGGAGAAGCAAATATGCCGAAGCTGTTTATTTTGCCATTATCTCCGTGTTTTCCTGACTGAGATAATACTTGGAAAACACAAAGCTCCCCCTGGCCGCTTCGGCGTCGGACACCGAGTCGTCTGTTTTTTCCGTCTTATTCCCTTTTCTATCGTGTTAACATAAACTCAGTCGGGTTTAAGCATCACACGCATAGGGATGCATTACTTAAGCATACTGACATTGTAAGCATCGCTGTGTACAGGCTGTAGCTGTCAGACTCTGATGAGCTGGTAAACACATAGTGCTTGAGAGGCCACAGATGGCCAGTGTTTTCCCCGTCTTGTGAGCTTAAATTCCCAAAGGAAAGGCTTGCTTTTTTTTTTTCTTTTGATTTTTCTTTTCCTCGCTTTAATTTGTAGCGGTACAAAAAGGGATGCGGCAGATTTTGTAGCGCAAATCCAGGCAGGAGCATCGCGACTAAAGTTGGAGAAGAATAATCTATTGTTCCTGAGAGTGATTTCTGTTTGTCTTCCTCCGCCTCACCCTGCCTGAGTGGATTCCACACAGCAGGTCTATTTATAAAGCCGAGGCAGCCGTGCGACACTTATAAAGTCTCCCTCACTAATCAGAGACGTCGCTCTGGGGTTGTCGAAACCAATCGCAGGGAAA